TGGACTTCACACAAAACCATCTCATTACCCCATAAGAAATGAACCAGGCAATCCACTATGGCCACTTGGAAGGATCAGATCCTGCAGAAATTCAAAAGAGGTTATCCTTTTTTTATATTTAAAACTACAGGGCTAGGGGCCAGCCCGGTGGCATAGTGATTAAGTTCATGCGGTCAGCTTCAGCGGCCCGGGGGTTCAGGGGTTCGGATCCTGGCCGTGGACCTACACACTGCGACCCACACTACAGCATGAAGCCATGGTGTGGCGGCATCCCACATACAAACTAGAGGAAGATTGGCACAGATATTAGCTCAGGGACCATCTTCCTCACCAAAAAAAACCACTACAGGGCTTATCCAGCTTTCAAGTGACTATTGGAAAGCATATGTTACTTTTATCCTTTTCAAGTAATTAAGGGTTGGAAGAGGAGGATGGGGAATGCCCCCCGAAGATTTTGATACAACAGTCTGAGCTCACCATTTACATGTTTAGTAAGTGCCTCGGTGGCTTTTATGGTCAGACAAGTTTGGGAAGAACTGCTCTAGATCCTAGCTGGGTAGTGCCCAGCCCTGAATTCCCAATGAAACCATCTGGGGAGCCTTAAAGAAAAAGGATGGCTGCCTGACTGAGTTGGTCTCGAGTGGGGCCTGGGTCTGGCTGCTGATGGACAGCTCCCCGTGTGACTGAGTGCAACCAACATTGAGAACCTGCTGCCCAGTGAGGGGCCCTGGCAGCACTGGGGGAGAGTTGGCCCCTGTTATGGGCTGAACTGTGTTGACCCAAAATTCATATGCTGAAGTCCGAACCCCCAGTATCTCAGAATGTTAACAGTATTTGGAAATAGAGTCTTTACACAGGAGAATAAATTAAAATGAAGTCATGAGGGTGGGTCCTAATCCAATCTGTCTGGTGTCCTTATTAGAAGAGGAAATTCAGACACACAGACACCAGGAGGTGCACATACAGCAGAAAAACCATGTGAGGACACAGCAAGAGGGTGGCCATCTGCAAGCCGAGGAGAGAGGCCTCAGAACGAAACCTAAACTGTGCGCCCTGACACCTTGATCTCGGACTTCCAGCCTCCAGAACTGTAAGAAAATAAATTTGTGTTGTTGAAGCCACAAGTCTGTGGTATTTGGATATGGCAGCCCTAGCAGACTAATAAACCCCCATCTCAAGACCAAGTGTGAAGAGCATCCTCACATCCCAATGTGTGTGTGAGACCTACAGACTAGATCTTTCTACAGTGTTCATACCTCCAGGAGAGGCAGGGGCTGCACGGAAGTGGAGACGAGAGATGGAGGTGAGTGGAGCAGCATTCCATCTCAGCATATGGTAATCAAGCAAAGACGATGCTTTCCGAGGGATTCCACATGTCAGTGGAGAAGCCAAAGGAGCAGAAACAGCATTAAGGTGACCCGGGGGGAAAAAAAGCACTTCAAACATCAATTCCACGGGCTGCCTTAACCGACCCCACAGACAAGTTGTCTCCCGGGGTCCCCTGGGCTTCTCCTTCACAGCACCTATCACAATTATGATTAATCATTGTGTAACTATTAAGTTCCTGTCTAAATCTGCTAGATAGCACCCGAGGGCAGAGACTGTGTCTTAACCTGTTCACCACCACTTGGCCCCTATTTGTTGAATGAATGCATGAACACTACTAGCAACCACTAGCAAAGATGATACCAGAAGAAATTAATTCAGTTGGTGAAATTAATTCAGTTGATGAAATGAATTAATGAATAAATAAGTCAATGAAAAAGTGAATCAATGACTGAGCACAGATTGGATGCTTGTTTCAAATGAACCTTAAATGTTTTTTAAATCTGGTTCCAATTAGATTTCATGACACTGCTTACTTAAGAGGAGACCTCACCCCTTGAGTAAGTTGGTAATTTTACTTTCTGCTGGACCCATTGATTTTAATGCATTGTGAATCATTTGGCAAATCTGCAAAAGAATGCTATGTATATGTATGCATATGTGCATATACAGGCACACCTCATTTTATTGCGCTCTGCAGATATTGCATTTTTTACAAGACCCTCCACCAGCAAAAAGATTACAACTCACTGAAGGCTCAGGTGATGGTTAGCATTTTTTAGCAATAAAGTATTTTTTAATTAAGGTATGTACATTGTTTTTTTAGACACAATGCTATTGCACACTTAATAGACTACAGTATAAACATAACTTTTTTATGCCCTGGGAAACCAAAAAAATTGTGTGACTTGCTTTATTGCAATATTTGCTTTATTGCAGTGGTCTGGAACCAAAGCCGCAATATCTCCCAGGTATGCCTGTATACACACATATATATATTCATTCCACACACACACATATACATACATATGTATATTCCACACATCACCACTGGTTTCATGTTTGGTTCAACATAAGACTTCGATGGTCATGTATAAAACCTCATAGAGGCAGAGTCTCAGTGCACACCCCTCCACCCCAGTTCAACCCCAAAGACTCATGCACTCGATACACAATAAAGTTCTTAGACGAGACCTCTGGTTGTATTTCACCTTTGGGTACCATGGGGATGCTTTTAGCTCAATGTCATGAACAAATGCAGGTTTCACATCTCTGATTGAGGATCACATTTTTATTCAGGCTGGACACTTGTCTTAGCACCAGTTTCCAAACCTTTGCCAGGTCTGGGAAGAGAGATTTCTAAGGACCAATAATTCACATGCACATCTCTTGAAGATAAAATACATCACTCCCAGGTTGTCTCTTCCCAGGTTTTTGTGAAGTAAATCTTACGCCAGTCTTGATTAGAAAATCCCAAATATTTTATCTTGAAAAATCAGTAGTTGGGGTGTAAAAAGCCAGCAGGGAATGTCCAATTTGACTTCAATTTACAGTGTGGTCAGTTTCCACTCTTGGCTAATAGCTTGAATTCCCCTTCTGGAAAGATCCGAAAGGCCCGGGTGTCATGGAAGAAGTTGTTCCATCTTTCTCTTCTTTCCTTATTTGACTGGTGTCTGGCTACCACAATAATCATCAGGCCCTTGGATTATCTTCTTGAACTGATCGCCTAAATCGCAGGTCTGAGTTTGACATAGGAAAGAGACGTTAGCACAGACAGACACTGACCCATCTCTCCAGGGAAAAGACCAAATTGGCTTTCAAGACCCCACAGCTTCTCATGCCTGCCTTGCCTGCTCCTTTCAAGTTTCTTCAGTCCTCCCCTTGAACTCCCATCATTGGATGCTGTCGGTAAATGCTATTCCAAAAAGATGAATGGGTTTTTTGGTTTGCTTGTTGCCTCCCCAGCATCCATTCTCCTTCTGGCATCAGCAGCAGATTTTCTTTGGGAACCCACCCTTCCCCACCCTCAGTCCCTGAGTCTATAGGGTTGTACCACCTGTATCTACAGACGAGGCCTGTGACTCAGATCTGGCCAACGAAATCATCACATTTTCATGGCCACAGCCATTGGTTCATGGAGGGGCTCATCACCCAATCACATCCAATGAAACACAACAAGAATTCTGGGTCTCTCACTCTTTCCCACTAGACTTCAATCTGAGAAGATATCAGAAGCTAATAAAGCTGTCTTGTAATTAATAGGAAGAGCCTGTTTGAGAAAGGAGCTAACACGGAAAAGAACTGAACAGAAAGAAACCAGGTTCTGGTGACATATTGTGAGCCCTGGCTTCTAATGAAAGAACTATTCTTGGGTTTTTGCTAAAGCCATTTTGGATCAGTTCCTGCCATCGAATGAGTAACTGATACGTGGGCAATTCTGACCCTCTAACTTGGGATATGGCATCTAGAGGAATGAGGTCTTCTTAGGGCCAGTTAGGTTACTCACCACGAGCAGCATTGTGTTCCCTGACATGCAAAGAGCCTGGCTGCTGAAAAAGAAGAAAACAGGTAGCCTCATCACTGGAAAATCATGTAGAACCTGGGGTCCTGTTGCATAGCTAGTAAGATTTGTGAGCCCCCCACCATATCAAAACTAAGAGGTGACAGATTAAGACCAAGGCTCAACCATAGAAATATCGACCATGTTTTGTTTTGTTTTTTAGGGACAGTGATTCAATCATTTATTCATTCATTTCACAGATATTTACTGAGTATTTACAATATGCCAGGTAATATATTACTACCTGGGGCTGCAAGGGGACAGACATGGTTCCTGCCTTCATAGGATTTAGAGCCTCTACATCCCTCACCTAAATCGCGCTGACAGTATTAATCTGCACAGATAGTGAATGACATGGCAGTCTCTTCTGACAAGATCATAACTTCCAAAACTAGTGGCATTTGAATTTAGGTGGGCTTTTATCCACATTTCCCAGGACACCAAGGAAGCTAGCAGGGCTCTGGAATTAGGGTTCTAGGCATCTCTTATACCCACTTGGTAAGAATGAAATTGGTTAAATCTTGTTAAGAGCGTGATATGGCAATATCTATCAACATTATCATGGGCTTGCCCTGTGGCAGAAATACTCACATAAAATAATTATCACAAAAATGTTTCATTACACACTACTTCTAGTCCTAAAAAAGCACCTGGGATCAACCCAAATATGCAAACATGTACAGACTGAGACAATGTCCGAGATATTTAGTGGAGGGGAAGCTATGATACTATGTGTATAGTATAGCCCCACTTTTGTAATAAATAAATAAAAATGTTAGTAGATGCGTGTATGTTTGCAGATGCCTGGGGGGAAAGATCTGGAAGAATATACACTGAAGCATTAATATAGTGGGGTGAGATGTCAGGGCACTTTTCATCTCAGTGGGATGTACTTCTGTAGGATTGGGTTACAGAATAGCCACATGCAAGCCCCATGAGAGCTGGGCCTTTACTATGTTCACCGTGATAACCCCAGTACCTGGAAGGCATGGAAAGTGTTGAATGAATATTATCTGTTAAATAAAGAGTACAGAAATGTTTAAACGTAGAAAGTGAAGTGCCCTTATGTGGTTCGAGTTCCCTGATGCACTTTTCACGGGGAGGCAAGTCTATGTCACAGGGATCCCCAGGCAGCCTCTGGCCTCACCTCCACGTCTCTCCTTTCCTGTGTGAACGAGCTGGGGCTTGCTCTCCTCTCCGCATCCTGCAGCTTAATCAACTTTTCTATCAGGAACATTTTATCTTTGCCCTCCTGCCAAGAAGGAAAACGAATAAAACAACATGGAGGATGAACGATGGTGTGAGGTGGAGAAGCAAATGATGGAAAGGAGGTGGATTTTTAGGCAAGTGGGGTCCCAGACGTTGGATGGAGACGGCTGCCATGTTTTCTCTTGAAGAAAAGAAACATTTCACAGCGAAGTCACGTTATCCCCCATAGCCTTCCTAAATTGTAATAATCTCCTCTAAAGCGATTTCCCCAGCAGGCTTGAGTAGCAGCCTTCTCCAGCCTGCTGCCAGAAGCAACTGACATGCCATTGTCTGCAGGCCCAAGACAAATGGTTTACAGAAGCCTCTTTCTTGGCATGCCCTCTGCCCCAGAACCTTGTCTGGGCACCCAGCATTGCCGGGGTCTGCCCTATCCTCCTACTGAGAATGTCAAAGCTTACAGCTCTGCATCTGAGGACACCAAACATATTTCATTTGTCAAAGTTATTTGTGTTAATGGAGTGGACCCAGACAAATAATTCCTGAATTGAGAAGGCAAACAAAGAAAGGCGTATGGCAACCCCAGGAGGGTGAATCACTTTCTCGTGAATCTGCTGCAGATAAGAGAGCGGTACATCCCACCAGCAAGCACCACTGATGGTCTGTCCAGTCTAGGTCAAACCCACTCCCCACGCCCTGATTCTCCTTAAACTTTCACCCACTAATTTTAGCATCCACCAGTGGATCCTGCTTGCAACAATTATTACTGGGGTATTTTTTTTTTTAAGATTTTATTTATTTATTTTCACCCCAAAGCCCCCAGTAGATAGTTGTATGTCATAGCTACACATCCTTCTAGTTGCTGTATGTGGGACGTGGCCTCAGCATGGCCGGAGAAGCGGTGCGTCGGTACGCTCCCGGGATCCAAACCCGGGCCGCCAGCAGCGGAGCGCGCGCACTCAACCGCTAAGCCACGGGGCCGGCCTATTACTGGGGTATTTGCTTCATGATGCTTTTCCATTTCCCTCATTCCTTCCACATTTCTTAATTGGAATTCTTCTGTAAGGAAGAGCCGTCACTGGGAACTGGTATTTTTAACAAGTTCCCCAGCTGTCTTGGATGGGGCTGATGTGTTGGGAAATCTCTAGTCTGTAGCAGCTGTTTCACAGTCCAGTGCAAATTAGAGTTACCCGGAGGGCTTGCAAAAATGCAAACTCATAGGCTTTACCCAACAGATTCTGACTCAAGGAGGCAAAACCGTATTGCAGGTAAGAGCACAAACTCTGGGGTCGCCTGGTTCAAATCCCACCATTTACTAGCCCTGTGACTTGGAGCAGATCATTTCACTCTGCGTCTTGACATGAGTACAGCCATGTTTGGCCGCTCCATTGACCTACAGCCACCAGCACAAAAAGAAATACAAAGCTGCTTTCTGTGTGGTGGGAACTGGCCTTTTCCCGGGAACTGGCCTTTCTCCCACGGAGAGAGTTGCAAGTTGTAACATTTCAAGGCTCTTGGAGCGTCGTAGCCCGGAATGGACTGGCCATCTGTGCCTGGCTGAGACGATAACCAAAGAGAACAATGCACGTACGCAACTACTGGGCTGGGA